TGTTCACCCCACTCTAGTGATTCCCTGCAACCTCTCCCCACTCAACTTGCAAATCCACCCAAGCTGTTTTCAGGAGATTTTCCATAGCAATGGCCTGTCTTGGCTAGTGCTGTGGATTTTCCTAAAATCTCTCAACCAAACAACAACTTGCCTTTGCAAGCCCCACATTTCTGGCTAAGTGGCCCTAGGCCATTGACTTTGCTTCAAAGCTTGATCTCTTCTGGGCACCTCCAAGTCCAGCACATCTGAAACTCATGCCAGGGGTATCTAGGGAGAATAAAAGTGGTGGATTATCTTGCCCTATATCTTTCAGGAGGCTCCATAACCACCACACCTGGTGGACAACTTCATACCATATCAAAGCATCAACCAACCACCACTGTAAGTGCAGAGTCACTAAGCACCAGAGCCCTGCTGAAATAAGTCCTGCTCTATGGGGTGGTCCCCCACACAACTGATTCTTCATGGTGGTCGCAGAAAATCCTTGCAGCCTACCAACCTGGGAATAAATCCCTGCCTTTGACGTACCAACAGCAATCAAGGCTCAACTACAACAGGAGGGCATAGACAGCCCATACAGATGGGCGGGGGGTGGCAGGCACATCTTGTGTGCATATCACAAATGAACAGGGAAACTACAGGACACCCACTACCTTACTCCATATTACCAAGCCCAGGCAACATTGTAGCTCTACCTAATACACAGAAACAAACATAGGGAGGCTGTCAAAATGAGGACACAAAGAACCATGTCTCAAATAAAAAAAAAATTAGAACTAAACTCCAGAAAAATAAATAAACAAAATGGAGACAAGCAACCTATTAGATACAGAGTTCCAAAACATTGGTTATAGCCCTAACCAGTTTGGCTCAATAGATAGAGCATCGACCTGCTGACTAAAGGTCCCGGGTTCAATTCTGGTCAAGGTCATGGACCTTGGTTGCAGGCTCCTTGGGGCATGCAGAAGGCAACCAATCAATGTGTCTCTCTCACATCATGATTCTCTCTGTCTCTCCCTCTCCCTTCCACTCTCTCTAAAAAATCAATGGAAAAAATATCCTCGGGTGAGAATTAAAACAAAACAAACAAAAAATTGGTTATAAAGATGCTAGATGGGGAAGAGTAGATAAACTTAGTAAGAACCTCAACACAAGTCAGAAATGAAAGTTGCATGAGCTGAGATAAAGAATAATTTATACAAAATCAATAATAGAGTAGATGAAGCTGAAAATAAAATCACTAATTTGAAATATAAGGAAGCAAAAAAACACCCAATGAGAATAGCAAAAAGAAAAAAATAATTTTAAAACATGAGGCTTGTGTAAGGAACATCTGGAATAACTTCAAATATACCAACATTCACATCATGGTCATGCCAGAAGAAAAAGAGACAGAGCAAGGAATTGAAAACCTATTTGAAAAAATAATTCCAGTAAACTTTCCTAACCTGGTGAAGGAAATAAACATAGAAGTCCAGGAAGTGCACAATCTCAAAGATGAACCCAAAGAGGCCTGCACCAAGACACATCATAATCAAAATGCAAAAATTTAAAGATGAAGAGAGAATCTTAAAAGCAGCAAGAGAAAAGCAGTGAGTTACCTACAAGGGAGCTCTCATTAGACTGTCAGATGATTTCTCAGTAGAAACTTTGCAGATCAGAGGGAATGGCAAGAAATACTCAAAGCGATGAAAAGCAAGGACCTACAACCAAGGTTATCCAAAAAAAAGCTATAATTTAGAATTTAAAGCTAGATAAAGAGCTTCCCATAACAAAGGAATTCATCACCACCAAACCAGTATTACATAAACTGTTAAAGGGTCTTCTTTAACAACACGAATAAAAAAAGAGAACATATATGAACAAAAACCAGCAATAAATGTACATCTATCAAAACTGAATCTAAAAACAAAATAAATGAACAGGCAGAGCAGAAACAAACTCATAGATACAGAGAACATTTTGACGGTTGCCAGATGGGAGGAGGTTTCAGTGGATGGATGAAAAAGGTGAAAGGATTAAGAAAAATAAATTGATAGCTACAAAATAGTCATGGGAATATAAAGTATAACAGGGGAATAACATCAATAATATTCTAATAACTATGGATACCAATCGATTGGTACAGATTTATTGGAATGATCATTTGGTAAGTTATACAATGCCTAATCACTGGAACTAATATGATATTGTACATCAACTGTAATTGAAAAATTAAAAATGATTTAAAATATTAAGTAGAAAAAAGTACTAAAATATGTTGAACAATTTAAAAAGCTGGTTAGATATCTATGTACTTTTCTACATTACTGGTTGATGTAAACTTTGAGAAACATTTGGTAACAGACTAAGAATAATTTTTGACATGTCCATATTTCTATCATCCTGCAATTACAATAGTAAGTAACAGAAAGTAATAAAATATTCCAAGACATTTAGGTACAGAGGTGTTCATTATACAATTGATCTTACATACAAAATACTAGAACCATTTTAAACATATCCTAAGGATGCTTGGTTATATAAATTGTTCATCTTAATGATGGAATATTATTAAACATCATAATTAAAAGAATATATATATAATTGATTTCAGAGAGGAAGGGAGAGGGAGAGAGAGATCAAAACATCAAATGATGAGAGAGAATCATTGATCGGCTGCCTCCCACAGGCCCCACACCGGGGACTGAGCCCTCATCCTGGGCATGTGCCCTTGGCCAGAATTGAACCTGGGACCCTTTAGTCCATAGGCTGATGCTCTATCCACTGAGTCAAACCACCTAAAGCTAAAAGAATATATTTAATGATTTATAAATATGGTCCCAGAGAACAGTAACAGTGAAAATACCCTGCAATGAAACAATGCATAGTTTATTATCAATATAAAGATACAATATATAGATTTATTTATTAAAATTGCATTTTGTCAAGTATTAAGATCAGGAGCTTTATTAGAATTTTAACTTTGTTTAATTACACTAATAAGGAATTTCTTGCCATTCAAAATATTTTCTATTGTAATCATGTACATTTTATATAAAATATGTTTAAATATATATTAAAAAACCATCCTGTTACCTAAATAAAATATTGATCAAACACAGAAATAATTGTATAATACCAAGTGAAGAAAACATTACAGGTATCCAGGTACTGTTAAAATATTGCCCCATCTTATAAAGATAAACTTATCCTTTTAATATAGATGGCCACTTAATATTGCTGTCCCTGCCACACTATATTTGACATCTTAATTTTTCTTCAAGCAATGTTAGTTCAGAAAACGACCTTGAAAGTCCACAAGATTTGCACCCTATGATGCACTTGGTGAGCTTTGTTTGGAAGAAGAAAAATCTACCAATAATGAAGATGCAGGAAGAAACACACACACACACACACACACACACACACACACACACACACAGATCATATAGACATGTATATATGTAAATACATCTATCTCCCTACTGAACTATCAATTAAATGGAATAATAAGAGCCAGAAAAAAATATTTTAAAGGTAACTTTAATGACATAAAATGAACTTCAAGAATATGCATGTGTGTCTGTATGTAAATACCCACTGTATGTGTGAAAAGAAGATATAAAAACATTATGTCCATTATTATATACATACATGACATTTGCATAAGAAATACAAGATGAGTACAGTCAAAATATTTCAGGTAGGTCTCAGAAAATATCAATGAGCACAGATAAAAATGATTCAGGAAGGCATGGTTGTTCATGAGGATTCATTACTGGTGAGATTAGTTTGCTTTTGCTAACTGGTCCGCTTTTGATTATTTTCTGCAATAAAGCTGAATTATTTTTTTGACAATGGGGAAAATGGAAAGAAGTAGGCACAAGGGAAGTGATAAACAGTATTTAAATCCAGCAAAACAACCAAGGACAGCAAAATGCCATTTGCAGCACATAAAGCTGGCCAACACACACACACACACACACAGCCACGAGCACACACACACACACGAGCACGCACATACACAAATCAATCACAGTGACCAGGAAATGGACATACTCTGTTTTACTGGCTGCACTGACTGGCATGAATGCAAATCGGTACAATATTTATGAAGGGGCCATTTGGCAACACGCCGGGAATGTCTTTAAAATGTCCACATGTGGATCCTTCAAGTCCACAGTTAAGATGACCATAGGGTATGCCTGCGGAGATTTGGCTTCACAAGCAAGGAGTCATTCATCAGAGAACTCAGTGTTGGGTTTAAACACCCGGAAAGAACTAGGCACCACCTGAATGTCCAACAATGAGGGAACGGTTACAGAAATGTTAAGGTGCATGGATACACTCTGCAGGCACTGAAGATGAGTTTCAGAAGCCTGTTGAATAACATGGAAAGACGTTCAGTTGGTTGTGTCTTGTTTGGTTTTAGTTTCTGAAAAAAAGCAGGTTAAGAAACACCACACACATGAACCATTGTATTGTTATATGTATGTACGTTAAAAGGGAAGGTGAGGTGGGGGTGAAAACGGGAGGGAGAGAGAGAAAGAGAACTTGGAAAGGCAGCACAGCAAAAAGGGAAAAGTAGTTGTCTCTGGGTAGCAGGATCATGGGTCATGGGGAGCCATTATTCTCTTGGTTTTCCCTCATCTGATTTCCTTCTCCTTTCTGAGGTTTCTACCATGAAATTGTTATCACCTGTACAGTAAACAAAGAGAGAAAGTGCTTTTAAAACCAAACCGCTAGAAGAGGCAGTCTCTATCAAGTGGCAGAGAGAGCAAGATTATTCAATGCCCTTGGTTGAGGTGGGGGGGGGGGGAGAATGAAGGAGTGGGTGAAAGGGGAGGGGAGAGGGACAAGGACAAGGAGAAGGAGAGGAAGAAGGAGAGACAGAGGGAGAGGGAGAGGGGGAAGGGGAGGGGGAGGGAGAGGGGGAGGGAGAGGGGGAGGGAGAGGGGGAGGGAGAGGGGGAGAGAGAGGGAGTGGGGAGGGAGAGGAGAGAGAGAGGAGAGGGAGAGGGAGAGGAAGAGGGAGAAGGAGACGGGGGAGAGAGAGGGGGAAGGGAGCTGCACTCTCAATACAACACACTGCTGGTGGGTTAGGGGGGCAGAGAGGGGGCTGTAAAGCCAGGTGGGAGCCAAAGTTTGGCTCTGCTGGCTGACTCGCTCCTGGGTTGTCTTCATCGGAAGGCGGCCTCGTCGGGGTCTTCCTCGAAATCATTGAAGTTAACACTGGCGGGCTGCCTGGCCCAAGCTCCTCGTTCAGCTTCTCGTTCCTTATGCGATTTGAATCTCCCAACGAAAATTTTGCGGTAGTTCAGGAACTGGCCGTTCATCATATCAATGGCAAGCTCAGCGGATTCCTGCTTCTGAAAGTGCACGAACCCATACCCCTTGGGCCCGCTTTCGTCGCAGGCCACTTTGCAAGAGAGGATGTCGCCAAACGCCGAGAAGATGTCGTACAGTGCCTTGTTGTCGATGGCCTTGCCCAGGTTCTTGATGAAGACGTTGCCCACCCCGCTCCTGCGCAGCGAAGGGTCCCGCTGGGACCACATGATGCGCACTGGCCTGCCTTTGATGACATCAAAGTTCAAGGTCTCCAGGGCCCGCTTGGCGTCCACCGGTTGCTGGTAGTTGACATATGCGTAGCCCAAGGAGCGGTGGGTGATCTTGTCTCTGCAGAGGCGGATTGAGAGGATAGGCCCTGCCGGGCTGAACTTCTCGTACAACATTGCCTCTGTCACCTCAGGGTGCAGGTCTCCCACATACAGTGAGGCCATTGGAAAGTCCGGGTTCTCCTTGGGACTCCCGCCCCTCTCTGCATTTGCGGCGGCAGCCGCCGCTGCCTCAGCCACCTCCGCCTCTGCATGCTCATCCCCACCCTCTTCCTTCAAGGGGGGTGCCACAGCCTCTGCTGCTGCAGTGGCTTCTGCAGCGCTGGCCTCTGCCACCACCGCGGCTGCTGCCGCCAGAGCGGCCTCCGCCTCCTCCCCGGCCAGGGCGGCTGCCGCCTCCCCCGGGATGGCCTCCACCACTGCCTCCTCCACTGAGGTGTGGGCCTGCACCTCGGTCTGCACCTCTGCTTCCGCCTCCGCCACGGAGGCCTCCGCCACCGCCTCTGCCACGGTCGCTGCCGCAGCCTCCGCCGCTGCAGCCGCCGCCACCGCTGCCGCCGCTGCCGCAGCTGTCGCCACGGTCGCCGGTGCTGCCGGGCCGCTGCCGCGACCTTCCTTCCAGCAAGCTGGGGGTCTGAGAGGCGGGAGAGGGCAGGAGGCCAGATGGGCGCAGGAACCCGGGCCGGGGGCGCGAGCAAGAGCTGCGGCGGGGGACTGGGGCGGGAGAAAGGGGGCGGGGGGGGGGCAGCAGATCTGGCGATACCAAGGCGTCTGGGATGACGAGCCCTGCCAGGAGCGCGCCTCTGCGAGTCGCCGCAGCTTACAGCTTCCTGCTGCCGCCACCGCTCAGTTGTGGATTAGCGTGCGGGGCGAGCGCGGGCGGGCTAGCTGGCGGGCGGGCAGTGTGCGGTGAGGGGCAGGAGCTGTTGGCATCTGTGTTCCGGGCAGCTGGGAAGGCTTCTGTCTCTTTGGTTCCCCCTGAGGGGGCTATGGGGGCTACGGGGGCTGCGGGCGGTGGGAAGGGGCGTGGCCGGGAAGCTTAAGGGGGGTGGGGGGGTGACCTGAGTGTGAGTCTTCAGCATCTCAGGTCGCCTACATATTTATTCAGAGGAAGCAGGGAAAGGGCTCCGCTGTGAACTGAGGGAATGCTGGTTAGATTTAGGGAGTTTTGTTTGATCCCCCCTCTCCCCATAGTACATTTAAGTGATTGGATCAAGTATGTTGTAAGAGGGGATGGGTGGCATTTGTTGAATACAATTGCCTGGCCTAAACAAAGCCAAGCAAAATGTTTTTCTCACATTCAGGTGTTCTTCCCATCTCAAGTCCAGCGCGCGTGCGAACACACACACACACATACACACACACTAACATTGCTGCCTCCAGGGAAACAACTCTTTTTTGTTTTTTGTTTTTTGAGTGGGAGCTGGGGCAAGTGGGGCAAGCTCCTCCTGCAGCCTGAGAGATCTTTCTCAAAGATTTCTTCCCTTTTTACCATCTCTTTCCCTCCCCTGCAACACTTGCAAAAGAGGGAATAGAGAATACAAGAACATGTATTCATTTATTCATAATGCCATGCCACAAATACTTATGGAGCAGGTTTTGTGCTGGTCCTTGGGGATATAGGGGTCTGGGAGACATTAGGACACAGGCTTGTTCTGAGCTTGTGAGCACATAGGTTGCGCCAGAAACCCTGCCCCTGCTCCAGACTATGGGAGAACTAGGGACCTGGGGTTCTTCAACCCTCCAACTCCTCCCACTCACCCAGCTTTAATAAATGCAACCTGGAAGCGGAGGAGTCAAGAACACCTTGTCCATAGTGCTGTCTTCAATGACACCCTTAGGAAAGCCAAGCCAAGGGCTGGGACATGGCCTGGTCCAGAGCCAGGCGCTTGTTTCTTCTTGGCTCTGCACTCAAGTTGCTGACGTTCCTAACATGAAGCAAAGCATGCACAGCTATGTTCAAGACAGAACCAAAACCTGAAATCTCTCTAGAATGAGGTGCCTGGTCCCGGTTCATCAGCTAGTATTTATGGGAGCCTTATCAAGTACTTGGCACTGGGGACTAAGGGACAAGCAATGTCATAAGTGAGCAGTTGAGTGTTGCTGTGCTGTAGCTAAGAAAAGGTGAGCAGTGTGTGTTGTAGGGGCAGAGAGACTACACAGGGCTAAATGGTGAGGGGATGGACAAGTGAGCAACTATTAGAGTAGAGTGTAACAGAGACTAGAGTCTCACTTCCTCTGGAAAGAAGGGCCCAGCTACTAACTGTTCCTGGTAGGAATCAAGTGAGGCTGCATAGAAGATGAAACCCTGAACGTGAGCTCTGAAAGATGAGTAGCAGTCCACCATGTTGAGGCAAGAGGGAAGGCATTCCAGACAGAAGGATCAGTCTGTGTCCAAGGCATGCTAGCACATGCATGGTCACTTCTGATCATGCCAAAATCTGGAGTGGACAGAGCCCATGGTCTCCCAGAGTCTATGGCAGGAGATGGGGCTGGAAGGCAAGGTGCGGTGTGTGGCCCTGAAAAGCAAGGTGCGGTGCTTGGACTCCATATCCACGCCAGCGAGCACCGCTCAGCATGTTCAAGGAGGGAATCGGTATGATCACATCTTTAGAAAGGGTACAAATTGAACGTCAATATAGAAAGTAGCTAAGAGAATAGATCTTAAAAGTCCTCATCACAGGGGGAGGGAAATGTGTAACTGTGTGGTGATATATGTTAACAAAACTAATTCTGGTAGCCATTTCACATATATATGTGTATCAAATCATTATGTTGTACACCTTTAAATTATACAATGTTATATGTGAACTATTTCTCAATAAAACAAGGGGGGCATCAATACACGTATAAATGCACATGTGCCCCTCCCCACACAATTGACAGAGAGTTGATAGAACAAAGAGAAGACACTTGGATGTGACCAGTTCCTGTGAAGAGTCAGAAGAACCCTTGCCTTTGTTCCTCCATTCCCGTTCATAAATAGGGGTTTCAGGCTTACCTTGAGCCAGGCATTGAACTGTAGGAAGGGGGTCAAATATAAAAAAATGTTTTCAAACCGTAGTGCCCTCCCTCAGGATGCCTCATGCCACTAAAGCTCAGCCTGCCCGTACAAATAACAGAAATGTCAGCAAAAGGGCTGTAGGTGCCATGTGAATGGACCATAGTGGCCAAGGAACTTCATCTGCTTCTCTCTTCCTCCCCTCTCCCACCCATGCACCTTCTTTGGCTGGACCTCAGCAGTTGCACATGATCAAACAACCCAAACCTGTGGAACTGACTGCGTGAGTCACTGTGGGGTGTGAGGCAGTAAGAACTTTCCCATCGCTGGCTGGAAAGTATCCCAAGATGGCTGAGAAGCAAACACACAGACAGGTACCTCACCAGCTTGCAAAGTCCAGCCCTCTGCCCCTAGACAAGGCCGGTGCCAGCAAAGGAAAAGGACAGAGAGTTAGGAAAAGCCCGCTGTACAGCTGGTACCTGACCAAAGTGATCACTGTCACTGCTGTTAGGAGCTATCTCAACGGAAGGGTGGGTCTAGGTTGCCTGTAGTCAGGAGGCAGATGAGCTGTGCTTCACCGCTACAGAAGATGAAACTCCAAAGGTGAGCTCTGAAAGATGAGTAGCAGCCCACCACCTTGAACCTGTCCTGCAGGAAGGACTGCAATTCCCTTGGCTTTGTGGCAGAAAAGAGGGGCACCAGAGAGGCAGAAAGGATGCCACTGTGGATGGAGCTAGTGAAAGAGGATGGGACTGCAACAGAGGAAGGCGTAGGGAGTGGGAAGGAGCCATGCTGTAGAGGTTTTTGGGTTGTTTTTTAAACCCAAATTGTTGTGGGGCCCAGAGAAAGGATGGGATCAATGGAGTGCCATGATTTAATTGTATTTCATAATTTTTCTCTGGCTGTTCCCTGTGGATCATATTACAAGTGGGCAGGACACAAAGGAAAGTATGTAGACCAATTTGGACCCTCTTTCAGCAGTCTAGTTGAGAAATGGCAGTGGCTTGGCCCAGATTGGCAGCACAAATTTGGAGAATAGTGCACAGGCTCACATGTTATTTTGGAAAGAGAAGAGATTTGCTGATGGATTGAAGGCAGTTGGTGAACAAACAACAGTGGACAGATAGTATTTAAAGCCATGAGCCTAGGCAGGATCACCTAGAGAGAGTATAGTCAGAAGAAGGTGAAGGGCTATTTCCTGAGAAAAGACAACATTTAGAAGTTGGGTTGAAAATGATGAGCCATCAGGAAAAATTAAGAAAGACTGGGCAGTGAACGGACCAACCCCAAACCTGACTTCTCCAAGGCCTTGCATGGTATAGCCTCAGTGTCTTCACTCTGTCCTGCTTTCAGTGCTCCTAGCTGCACGTGCATGGAAGTGGTTTAAAACAGGACAACAAAGACCCTGCGTACTAGTGTTTGAGCTTCTGTTTCTGTTCATTTCTCAGTGGAGCTTTGGAAAGAGATAGGTTCAGATATAGACACATTCGAAGAGTGTTTGGAAGTGACACTCCTCTTCCATTTCATATGGCCCGCCTTCTTCCTATCAGGAAGGAGAAACAGAAAGGAATAGAGATGCCGTTCAGAGAGCTAGGAAAAAGATGGAAGAAGGTAAGGGGTGGAGGGTACCCGTGGGGGGAGGGACAGATCAACTCTATATGCAAAAATTAATCAAAACATTGAAAAGGGGGATCTGCACAAAGAAGTCTCTTTCCTTAAATTTCTCATTGACATAGTTGTAGGAAGCATGCTGGGGGAAAAGAGAAAAAAACATAATTGTATTTTGGAGTGGGAACATTTTCAATTCACACTATTCCTCCAAATTCTGCTGAAAGAAAATAAACATGGGATACAAGCCAACAAAAAAAGCAGCCATAGACTTTTATTTAGGAATAATTGGAAAGTGTTTGGGTGTGCCTCTGTTATTTAATAAATAATAACAATGACTATTAAAGTGCCTGGAATAAATACAACACATTTAGCAAATGGTCCTTTGGAGACAGATATGTGGGGCACAGAAGGAATGGGATTTGACCTATAGACAAGAGAGCCCAGGACATCAGGACAAACACAGGAGCTTGCTTTCTTTCTTTCTTTCTTTCTTTCTTTCTTTCTTTCTTTCTTTCTTTTTTTTAATATATTTTATTGATTTTTTACAGAGAGGAAGGGAGAGAGATAGAGAGCTAGAAACGTTGATGAGAGAGAAACATCAACCAGCTGCCTCCTGCACACCCCTACCGGGGATGTGCCCGCAACCAATGTACATGCCCTTGGCCGGAATCAAACCCGGGACCCCTCAGTCCGCAGACCGATGCTCTACCACTGAGCCAAACCGGTTTCGGCCAATTTTCAGAAGCTTTCTTTCACATGTTCATATTGGGCAAAATAGGACCAAAGCAAGCACTCATCAGTTGGGGTTTGACTGAAGACATTTGCGGTACAGCCATTTCATGGATTATTATGCAACCAATATCAAGTAAGAGCTATGTCTATATGGAGAGATTTAGGGGGACCTCCAAAATATTATTTAAGTGAGAGCAGCAAATTGCAGAAAGGGAACAGTTTGTGGGAGGGTGCAAAAAGTTATGAGGTGGGATCTCACACTCTTTTGTCTACCAGTTTGACATCTTCACCAGGATGTCTCAAGCATTCATCCTTAAGTGGCAAAATTGCAATGCCTGAGCTTCTTCCACCTCCTGACCTCTACTCTCCCTAATGTTGTTCTTCCCACAAGTCTTCTGCTTCCCAATGAATAGCATCAACATCTACCCATGTATTAAAGTGAAATAATAATGGACAGGCACCCTTATTTCCTTCCTCTCCCATTGCCACATCTTC